GCTCACTGCAAGGGACACGCCTCCAAGGACATGTTGAGGTCAGGTGGGTGAGGCTGAGGAGAATGGGAACACTCATCAGTGGGGAAGCTGAGAAGGCGTAATGCAGGACAGGGGATGTAAAGAGAGGAGGGACAGGCAGTGGAGAGAGAAGATGCAGTGATGTGGGTGCATTGTAAATGAGAAGCTGATGCAGCAAAAGTTTTGCTGGAATGGAAAGGGTTTGAGCTCTGCTGTCACTCTTATAGGAGACCAGGAGACAAACTCGCTACAACATCATTCATTTTAGAATGTGCTAACACCTTTCAATACTTTTATTTCTTTTTCCATCTCAAAGAGCAAAAAAATCTCAAGAGGAGCTTCATACTTTGGAGATGAAAATCAAGAATTGTGATGAAATCCTTTTAATCCATTCTCTCCCTTCTCGTTTTAGAAATAGCTTAGTTTCAGTAGACTGAACCAAGAAAACAAAAGTAATCCAATGCTACACCTGGAGCACATGTGCATACTTATTGTTGCCCAAAATAAGGTTAATATCACATTGATTTGGAAAATAGACAGGGTTACTAGAATAGTTTCTCTTCTAATGAGAAGTCTTTAGCTGTAGGAATGAAATTATCAACATGCAAGAAAAGACGTTGTTTCATATACTGACTTGATCCAAAATGCAAAGATAAGCACCCAGGTTTCTTGTTAAAAACTAGAATATGTGCAGCATTTTTTGCTGCTTCATGTTAGTTTTACATTAATCTAGCAGGAAAATTTCCAATGGGAATTGCAGCTTGCAAATGCAATGGGATTTGCAGCTTGCAAATGCTATTCTCAGCTATGCTGTTAATATTTATAAAACATGCCAGGAGGGACCTTTTTGCCTGGGGATCCTTAATGACTGATAAGGAATGTGTAGCCTCTTACTGAAGATCCCTGGGTAAAGTAAGACCTCTCAGGAATGCTGGCATGAGACAAGGAGAAATGCCAGAACATTAATTCTCTGGTGCAAGCTTCTCACTGTGACACTTTTGCTAAGATGTGGCTGAACACTGGACCCTGGAGATGGTAAGAATGAATTTCACATTCAATTTCTATTGAAAGATGGGTATTGTGATGAATTAAATTAAATATGTTGAGTACTTTCTCTGGTTTTGGCATATTTAATCTGGGTAATTTTTTACCTGGGTAAAATGAGTCCTTTAGGGACTTGAGCTGTCATTCCAGATGAGCAGTGCTAAAACTGATGGATAAAAAACCAGTTGGGAATTATGTCTAACAAAAAAACAGTAATGACCCTAACAAAGGAGAGATTAACTAAGCTGGTGAGGTACTTTGGGCCAGTTACTGGCTTGGCCATTGCAAGAGCAGAACAGGAGAGAGCTGACCTTTGTGTCTGTGCTGCTTAGAACATCCTTGTATCTCAGGGTAGCTGTGAAAGGACTGAGATGGCTTTGTGCTCTTCTGATCCTGCCCCTTCCTTTGGAGACTCATTTCTGCAATGCTTGATGCAGTTATTAGCTGATCTTACAGCAGGGAAAACATGTGGGACTTCTGAAGTTTCAACAGTATATTTTAAACCTAGGAATGTCGTTATTTTACTTGGTGAGACCAAAGTGTCTGCCCACTGAGGAAAAGTAAGTCTTGCAAAGAAAAGTGAGGAGGGAGGGCAAAACCAGCTAGAGATTAGTGACAGTTGATGCACAGAATTTTTAGACTTAATGATAAACTGCTTTCTGTTCGTGAGATTTCTATGGTTACTCAAATTCCTCCCATCTTCACAGCATATGTCAGAGAAAGAAACATGAGCAGCAGGTTCTGGATGAGGAGGTGACATTCAGGATGCCCTTTCCATCACATGCCAGAGTAGCTGTACATCTTCAGTTACCAAACAGGTGAGTGAGGTGGACAGGCTCTGATGGCAATGGAAGGAGAAGCAAAAGGCAAAAGGAGCTGGACAATGGCATGGAAAGAAAAGAAATGAGAACAGCGATATGAAATAAAATTATTTACATTGGAAGAAGAGGGTTCTCCAAATTTCCTTTCAGTTTTGAGAGGATACACATTAAGAATAGTAAAACTTTGGTTTTTCATGGGTGTTCTACATGTGTCCGAGTAATGTAATATGGATCTTCAATAAAGCTGTGCTGTAATTCCCAGGAGAACATATAGGACTAGAATAATCTATCTAAAGATGGCTTTAGGAAGAGCACACCTTGTTTGAAATTATTTGTTTAGACTGACAATTATAGCAAGTTCTAAGAATCCTAAATAAATCCCTGCAAAATAAAACATTCAGTAAGTGTGATATGAGTTTAGAATCCTAAGGAATATGATAATTTTCCAAGTACAGCATATTATATTTTCAAGGTATTTATAATTTATGGTTGATATTTTAATAATTTTATATTGCTCAAAATATACTATCCAAAATAAAAATGCTGTTTTTCTTATTCACTTATTTACCACCCCAACCCAGTGAATTCTTTCCTACCACAGAAACGTTCTATGTCTGCCAAAATAACATACAAACACAAATGCAAACCAAAAAAATTCGTAGAAACCTTCAGAAATATCAAAATATACCTTTTTCCCCCCAAAGTTAAGTTTTGATGGATTGTAACCTCTGCTTATTTGTGACCTCCACTAACAGTGAAGGTCGGGTGGGCTTTGCTTGGGTTCACAGTGCCACGTTCAAATCTGCTTTACAGGGAAGAATATCTTGATTATTTGTGTCTTTTGAGGTTCCATACAGGTAGATCATGCAAATGGCTTGTCTGCACTTTAGGCTGCCTAGAGATTTTTCTGTCACTCCTGCTGGCCTGAGAGCCCAGGAAGTCCTTACGTGTGGCAGCTGGACCTCCTCTTGGAGGAGTGAGGGTGTTGAGAGCCCCAGGCCTCTCCTGGTGCCGGCACTAGGAAGGTCCAGCCAGATCAGTTGTCAAGAGAACTGTTGCAGTCCCACACTGGGGCTGCTCCACAGGGTGTGCAGTGGAGGTGGCAGGGCCACCGGCACTGTGCCTTGTCCTTTTGTCAGCCACACACTCCCAAGCATGTCCGTGGTTCCCTTTCTGGGCAGAGTGCCCAGTGCAGGTGAGGCCCTGTGCCCTGAGCAGTGCCTGCTTCCATCAGCTCAAGGTCTTGTCTTCCAGCATTGATGACCCAAACTTTTCAAACTGTTCTTTGGCTCATCCCATGTATTCTTTGTCATGTCCCAGTGGGTAACACATGAAACTGGCTGGCCCACCTGGCTGGATTTTAACCCCTCTGATTTGCTCCTAACAGGTAGGCCAGGCAGTTTGAGCAGGTTTGAGCACCCAGGCCTCAGTGGGATGGGCCGGCAGTTTCAGGAGGTTTAAAGCAGCTGCTGCCTTGGCACACAGCACACGTGGCCAGCTCCTCCAGGGCAGCACGTTGCAGTGCCACATAGAAGGCAGCCTACCCGCCCAGGAATGTCTTCAGGCGCTATTAGTGGAAGCAGATCATCCCCACAAACAGGCACAACCCCACACAGGAGTCTTAGGAGACTGGGGTTATTTTGGGCTTTTGACATTGAGCATGAAAGGAGACCCGTGATGGGCTGATCCTCCTGCCATGGGCCTCCTCCGAAGCTCCTTTCAGCCCTGTCCCCTCCTCCAGCAATGGCTCTTGTGGAGGCTGAGGGGCAGTTTGGTGTGGCCTTGGAGGGCAGGAGGTGAGTGCAGAGGGAGCTGTGAGTTTGCTGGAGGGACAAGGCCAGCCCTCAGTGCCATCAGGAGTGCCCAGCTGTGCTCAGGACAGGTCCTGCCTGAGGGTGTGCACCTGTCCCTGAGCTCACAGTATGGGGCTTCCTGCTTTATTCTCAATCACACCCATGAGAGTGAGATACAAGATTGTGAGTGCTAGAGAAACAGGCAGAAAGCTGGAGGAAGAAGGATCTGATTGTACAAAAAACCTAAAGAAACCTACAGTAGGTCAGAGCAGACACAGTCACACCCACAATGAGAGGGTTTCTTCTTCAGTGACATGCCAGTCATTCCCCATTGGTGTCCTTTGGGACAGTGCTTTTGGACAAGTCATCAAAGAAACTCTCCATGTGTCTCATGTGACATTAGGGCTCATTGTCCCCTCACTGGTCTGCACCAAGGACTTCTACAAAATGGAGATGGGGTGACTGGCTGTGACAGCTTCAGAAAGGGACAGAGCTACAACAGTGGGGGCAATTTCATGAGCTGCTATTGCTCAAAGGATTTCCAAATTGATGTCATAGCCCTCAGGTCTCACTAACCTATTTGACTCAGTGTATACACAGAGCCCCATGGTATTTGAGATTTGGGGGGAAATCCTCTGAAGCTGAGTGTTCTCTCTGTCAGTGGGGCAAAGAGGTGTGTTGGAGCCATGTGGTGTGTGAGAACTGGACACTAAAGGACAGTCCTGACAGTCCTTCCAGCACATGGCCCCAGGCAGGCTCAGCTGTTTGCCAGCTCAAGAGAAACTGGCAGCAGCTGGTGGCAGCAGCTGAGGAATCCTAGGAAGAGGGAGATGGCAAAATATAGGGACACTACTGGTGTCTTGTAACTGCTCTTTGTGACTGAAATCATCTCTGTCAAGGAACTATCAGTCCTTCACAGTGCAGTGCACTGCACCTTCTGATGACTCTCTCAGAGATTGATGTTTAGAGTTTATGAGGGCCAGCATCACAAACAAGAGTAGGAAAAGGAAAAAGCAAAAGGATCACCCTCTCTTGACTCTCTCACGGAAAAGAAGCTGTGCTGAAAAAACAATGGGAGAAGCATTAGGCAGGAGCTGGACAAAGAGCTGCTGGAGACAGGAGAGAGCACAGGCTGGATTTTTCAGGAGTCTTCACAGCAATGGCCAGCATCTAAATTTGTAGATCCTCAATCCAGAACCGACCCCTGCTTTTCCCTTCTCCCAGAGAGGAAAAGGAAGGAAATTTCTTTTGCAATGCAATTGCCCAAGGAAGACAAAACCCAAAGAAGAACAAAACCCAAAGAAGAACAAAACCACTGGCCATAGTGTGTATGCAGAGGAATCTACTACAGTCTTTATTCACTAGACACTGAGGTGGGTACAAAGGCTCATGGCAGAAAGAAAGTGACCGAGAGGTTCACATTTTGTGCAGCCCTCAGGTCACTTTGCTGTCTCATGACATGCTTACTCTTCCTCTCCTATTTTCTTGCCGTGAATTTCCCGGCTCTTGGCTCGGAGCTTGTTGACCTGTGACTCTGCAATGTCAGCGCGCTCCTCAGCTTCCTCCAGCTCGTGCTGGATCTTGCGGAACTTGGAGAGGTTCACATTGGACAGCTCCTCCTGTTGGGGAAAAGGAGTCAGTGGTGAGGAGCCCAGGCCAGGGGCTTCGTTCCTATTGCACCTTGGCTTTGTTGAGCTACAGATTTTCCCTTGGGGGAAGGCACAAAGCTCCATCCCATTTCTTCCACTGCTTACGTCACCCTCACACATAGCTCCTCATCCTTCCTTTTGAGGAAGATCCATTGTTGAAGGAGTATAATGGGATTTAAACATAATTCTGCTTTGGAATGTGGGAAGGAAGTAAAATGGGCAGCTGGAAATGTGATTTTTTTAGTGCAGAATCAAACATTCAATTACATCTGCAGATCCTTAAGTGGGGTTAGGAATTTATGAGAGACATCAACTACAAGAGGGCTCCTCTTATAATTTAACTGGCCTTAACTGAACCACTAGACATACTCTGTGCTGGACTGTTTCCACAATGAAGAAACTGTGCTAAGGCAATCTTAAATTCAGGGCTCTAAGACTTCCCTCAGGGCTGCAGACTTCCCTGACTGCTGCATGCCTAGAAACAGGGAAAGGTTCCTTGTACAATTATAAAAGCATAATACAAAGTGGTTTGGGAGAGGAATTCTAACACCGTCCCTGTCTGCTACCAAAACTATAAAAACAAGATTTTTCAAAATTTCTTAAGGCACTGTATAACTAATAAGAGTTGTAAGACTCTTTAAAGTTTGTTTTGTGGTTCTAATGCAACAAAAGCTATGTGCATTTGCCGTCCTCAGTAGTTCTCTTAGTGATTCAATGGCAAGTCCGATTTATGAACCTTTCAGAGAATTAGAAGAACTCCATTACTGATGAGTGGCATCTTCCAACTTTCTTATATCTATCTTCTCAATGGCCAAACTACCCTCTAGGAAAGTGGTTCTTGCCAAGCATTCAGAGAGATACTTACGGCCTCCTCAGATTGCCTCTTGTAGGATTTCACTTTCATTTGCAGCTTGTCCACCAGATCCTGCAGTCTCAGCACATTCTTCCTGTCTTCCTCAGACTAAAGCAGTTGGTAAACAGAATAGACAGTCAATTCTTGGTTCTACATCATGTGAGATTAACAGTTGCCCTTGGGGATGGTGTGGGTAAAATGTGCCTCACTGTGAGAAAGCCCTGGGAGAGCAGGAGAGCTCGTGCCTTACCTGGTAGGTGAGTTCCTTCACCCTGCGCTCGTACTTGCGCACGCCCTTCACGGCTTCAGCGCTGCGCTTCTGCTCAGCATCAACCTCCCCTTCCAGCTCCCGCACCTGCAAGGACAAGCCCATCCCTGCAGCTGCCCTGACAATAGCTCTCCAAGGAGAGGCACGCTCACTCAGGCACAGCCCCAGCCCTACACACCCTGGCCTCCAGCTTCTGGATCTGCTTCTTGCCTCCCTTCAGTGCCAGCTGCTCGGCCTCATCCAGACGGTGCTGCAGGTCCTTCACTGTCTGGTCCAGGTTCTTCTTCATCCTCTCCAGGTGGGCACTGGTGTCCTGCTCCTTCTTCAGCTCCTCTGCCATCATGGCCGCCTGATCAGAGCAAAGGGCCAAAGCCATTTTGGGACTGGAGATATTTTGGGGAGAGTACATTCATCGTCAGCAATGCCAGGAGTGTCCAACTCACATCAGTGATGGCCTTCTTGGCCTTCTCCTCAGCATTGCGAGCTTCCTGGATGGTATCCTCCATTTCACCCTGGATCTGGGCAATGTCTGTTTCCAGCTTCTTCTTGGTGTTGATCAGGCTGGTGTTCTGTGAAATGGGAAGGACATGACGAGACTTGAATTCTAAACTTGCCATAAAAAACCTTCTTCCTGAACTAAGACTTTCCCCTTCCAGCTTCCAATTCTTACTCTGGAATTATTGTTACAATGGTTGTTTATAAAATATCAAGCGTAGGCTTGGGGAACAGATGCAAAATACACCTTTCCTTGGGGACAGCAGTAGAGAGGCCTTTCTAGTACTACTGGTTCTCTGGTAAATTCCAGGCCTCTGTGTTTGGTCAGTATCAACACAGCTCTTTGTTCCCTGCCCTGACCTGGGTGTGGAGGAGCTGCACACGTTCAGCAGCATCCAGAAGCTCCTGCTCAGCTATTTTCCTCGACCGCTCCGTCTGCTCCAGGGCTGCCCGGAGCTCCTCAACTTCAGCCTGCAGCAGGTTTGCTCTGCGCTCCACCATGGCCACCTGCTCCTTCAGGTCATCCTTTGTCCTAAGTGCATCATCCAGATGGATTTGTGTTTCCTGGAAAGAAAGAGAAGAGAAATTCTTAGATGTCAGTGGCTTGAGTGGCAAAAATGTCATGAATCCCATTTCTCTTTCTGAAGCTCTGCTGAATGAACCTTGAGCACAGCCTGGGTGTTCCTCAGGTTCTTCTGTGCCTCTGCAGCCTGGCGGTTGGCATGGCTCAGCTGGATCTCCATTTCATTCAGGTCTCCCTCCATCTTCTTCTTCAGCCTCAGGGCTTCATTCCTGCTCCTGATCTCAGCATCCAGGGTGCTCTGCATGGAGTCCACAACTCGCAGATGGTTTCTCTTCATCTGATCAATCTCCTCATCTTTCTCTGCTATCTTCCTGTCAATCTCAGCTTTCACTTGGTTGAGCTCAAGCTGCAGGCGCAGGATCTTCCCCTCCTCATGTTCCAGGGAGGCCTGCACAAGTGGACACGAACATTGATAACATCAATGAACCTACTGCTTCCTTTTAGGGATAGGATATTTCCAGAGATCTCAGCTGTCTGCACTCCCCAGCCAGAAGAGAGGACAACCTAGACCTTGTTAGCCTTATTTCCTCATTTCTTTGCTGCAGACACCAGTGATTATGGTCATATACCTCAGCTTCTTCCAGAGCAGCCTGGATTTCAGATTTCTCCAGCTCAACCTGCTTCTTCACTTTCTCCAGTTCATGAATTGCCTTTAGCACTGTCTGTACCTCAGCTTCCTCCAGGGAGGCTTGCAGTTCAGATTTCTCCTGCTCAACCTGCTTCTTCACTTTCTCCAGCTCATGAATTGCCTTTCCTCCCTCCGCAATCTGCTCCGTGAGGTCAGAAATCTCCTCTGTGGAACAAAGATCAATGGCATGGTCAGGCACAGAGCAGAATGGGAAGGGCCCTGTCCCACCAAGGTGACAGGCATCTCTGCAGACCTGCAGGCACACACCCATGAACAATGGTGGAGTGGTTGCAGGGAGGGGACAAAAAGAAGAATCAAAACCCCTGACCAGGTCAATGGCTATCACGGAGCCGTGCTCTGGCCAGGGGTGCTGGTGCTGGAGGCCAAAAGACCTTGTCAAAGTTCTTCTGCTTCTTATCTAGAGCAGCACAGGCAGCATTGGATTTCTCCACGTCAATCATCAGGTCCTCCACTTCATTCTGCAGCCTCTGCTTTGTCTTTTCCAGGGAGGCACATTTGGCATTAACAGCTTCAACCTGTTCCTCTGCATCCTGCAGGCGTTGGGCCAGCTTCTTCCTGGGAGACATAAGGTCAGCTCACATTAATACTGAGTATCAGTGCGTGTTTTTTATTATAGTGTTCCTAACCAATTTGCAGTTTATAGTCACACAGTTCCAAGGGCTCCATTTATGCTGTTCTTAGGCTTTGCTTTTACTATGGTACTAAATATACTACAGCATAAATTTTCTAATTTTCTATTGCTCTCCTGCAAATCAGATCCGTGACTTATTTCTCACAATATAGCGATATTTCTCTTGCAATGTCACCTTTGAATTTTCAGTCTTACTTTTTTGCTTTTTCTAACACCACGTACTTGGCCTCCTCGAGCTCCTCTGTGCGCTGAATCGCGTCCGTCTCGTATTTGGTTCTCCACTGAGCCACTTCGCTGTTGGCCTTGGACAGGGCTCGCTGCAGCTCCCCCTTGGCCTCCTGCTCCTCCTCATATTGTTCCCGGAGCAAGTCACAGTCGTGGCGAGCGGACTGCAGGGCGTGGGCCAGGGCGTTCTTGGCCTGTGGGACAATTGGTTTAGGACAATTAATTTCCCGTGAGATAGTAAAATGTTAACTTGATGGAAGTTGTTGAAAATTCTTGGATTATGAGATTTAAAGTCACATCAAGGAAAAATGGCATATTCATTCCATGTTTCAAGAATCTAGACTGCCTTCTCAGGAGAGATGATGGGCAAATTCTAAATGACAGCTATACAGCTGTGAATCATTGAATCCTTTTAAATATGTTCTAAAGTTTCAGCTGCCACTGTGAAAAAGTAGACTAAGATGTCTACTTTTCTTTTTAGATAGCTCTCAGTAATTTTTTTTTTTGTCATCATAAATTGATTAAAGACCTAAAATTGTTTTTCCCTGTCTCAGTATCCACATTGGGGAGTGTCTTCCTCAGCTTTTCACACCGCAGAGGGAGGAGGTAAAATTTCTCACCTTGCTTGATAGCTCAAAAATTAAAATTATACAGCTAACATTCTGATTTAATGTGAGAGTAGGAGATATCCGTAAAGAAAACAGATTCCCAATCCAAAATCAGCCCCCTAAAGGAAGTGACTTTACCTTTATTTCTTCCTCTAAATGTCTCTTTAGTTCCTCAATCTGTTGAGTGAATGCCTGTTTGCTTCTGGATAACTGAGATATCAAACCATCTTTTTCTTCCACCTGGCGTGAATATTCACCTAAGAAAGTTTTCATACAGATTGCCATTTAAAATCAATAGTTCTTTTAAGCACAGTATACCAGCTTTCTGAGAATAGATCAATTTGAGTAAAGCATCAATCTTTTTTCTTATTATCATTGGTTACAGGTTGTTCCTTTTGAGGGGATATAGGGGTCTATTACCTGACTCTGTCTGCAGGCGTGCTCTTTGAGCATTGAGGTCATTGATCATGCGCTGATGTTCTTCTTCCTTTGTCTTAATCTCACTCAGCTGATCTTCCAGTGTGCGGCACATCTTCTCCAGATTTGCCTGTGTGTCAAAGCCACGTAAAAAAAGAGGACTACTACTAAGTTCTAACATACTGTTCTCAAGGTGAAAAACAATGCAACTGGATGTGATAGAAGAATACAAACAGAATCAAAGTCATGAATAAGAGCATGTATAATATGGCAGTAACATGAAAGAAACTCCATACCTTGGCTTTGGAGACAGACTCCATGTTACTGGCCAAGTCATCAATCTCCATCTTCAGCTCACTCTTCTCCTTCTCCAGCTTCTGCTTCACGCGTTGCAGGTTGTCGATCTGCTCGCCCAGCTCAGCTGTGCTGTCCGCGTGCTTCTTGCGCAGGGCGGCAGCCGTGGCTTCGTGCTGCAGCGTGGCCTCTTCCAGGTCACGGCGCATCTTCTGGAACTCTGCCTCACGCTTCTTGTTCATCTCCACCTGAGCTGCTGTGGCCCCTCCTGCTTCCTCCAGGCGCTCGCTGATCTCCTCCAGCTCCCTGGACAGGTCAGCGCGATGCTTCTCTGCTTTAGCGCGAGAGGTTCGCTCTGCCTCAATTTCCTCCTCCAGCTCCTCAATGCGGGCCTGCAGAAAAGCAGGGACCCTTGACAGCCGTGCCCTCCTCCTGCCTGAGCTGAGCCTGAGCAAGGCAGGGGAAGGAACAGACACTTGCCTGCAGCTCCTTGATCTTCTTCTGAAGTTGCACACCCAGGGCCTGTTCATCCTCAATGTTACTCTGGATCTGGCTGATTTCAAAGTCTTTCCTTTGGACCAAGTGAAACATGTTAGAGCTCAAAAAAAAAGAGACAAGTGCTGCAGCGTAGAAGTCCTGTAATAGCACAGGGGTCTTTTTCAGAATGCGAGTGGCAGGTTCTACCTCATACCTTGTTTTCAGTGGCATGTTTTTCCTTCTCCACCTTGGCCAGTGTTAGCTCAAGGTCATCAATATCTTTCTTCAGCTCTGAACATTCATCTTCCAGTTTCCTCTTCTTTGCTGTCAGTTCAGCATTAATTTCTTCTTCATCCTCTGCCCTTTCAGTCACTTCTTTAATTTTGGCTTCCAGCTGGATTTTGGTTTTGATGAGCTGGTCACACCTTTCCTCTGCATCAGCCAAGCTATCTGCTTCCTAGTGGGGAGAGAGAATTTTGTAGATTTAGTGTTTTGAACTTTCTCTGCTCTGTCTCTTTTATCACTGAGTAGCAGCTGAACCTCACCTTCAACTCCAGCAACAAAAGGATTTTACCTTCTAGTTTCCAAGCAAAGAGAGCATAGCTTTTCCTGCACCTGCATTCCTAAGTACCACTTTCAAGTGTGGTTTGCATTGTGCCACAAAATTAATTGGTTATTCTACCTCATTTCAAGGATCTATGTTTGCCTCCTTCCTCTGAAGACAAGAGCACTGACTCCCAGCTGAAACTCTCTGTCATAATGTGTACCACATCACTGCCAGGATTTATTTCCCCACCTTCACATACATATGATGGATAATTTCCCAAATTCATTACTTTTGGTCTTCTATAGTCTGATTTTCTGTTTTAAAGAAGAGTCTGAATATATTGACTTATTTTCTGAGTGATAAACTAAAGATGATAAACTCACAGCCTGTACTTGGAGCTGCAGGTCATTTTTCTCTTGCACAAGTTTCACCATTTTCTCCTCCAGCTCCTTCCGCTTTGCCTCAGACTTTGCAAGCTCCTCCTTGGTTTTCTCAAACTCTTGTTTCATGTTGGCCATCTCCTTCTCAGACTCTGCACTCTTCAGCAAGGGCTTGATCTTGAAGAACAGCTTCATCCATGGCCAATGCTTGACATTCATGAATGCACGAATGTTGTACTGGATGCAGAAAATGGATTCCCTGAGGCATTATTAAAAAGTGAAATGAATATTCTCATTCTGATGAGTGTCAACACTTCCCCCCAAGCAGAGTGACTCTTTAACTGAAGAAGAGGAAGGTGTACCTGCGCTCCACCATTCTCTGGTACTCCACCCTCATCAGGAAGCCCCTGCACCTGGCCTGGGTGCGGGTGATGAGCTGTGCCAGCTTCTCATCCCTCATCTCCTCCAGGATCCCTATCAGCCCAGCTTTGAAGAACACCTTGAAAGAGGCAATGTTGCAGCACATCACTGTCAGGTAGAGAGAGCAAAGCCCCGGCAGGCAGTGAATGGGGGGGTTGGTACCTTGGTGTGTCCAAATTTGTACTGGGTGTGGTCCACATCGATTGACCCAAGGAGCTTCTCAGAAGCCTTCTTGCTATCGATGAACTGTCCCTCAGGGATGGCACTTGCATTAAGCACCTTGTATCTGTGGAATCAGAAGAAGATAAGGTTGGTTTTTTTCCAAGCAACACGCAGTAGCCTCTAAACCCTACCAGCTCTTTTTTTTTAAAATTCAAACACAGCTTAAATGGACCCATGAATGAACCAAAATTGCTTTTAATGATGCTGACAAGCGTAGAGCTCTCACCTTTGTTTGAAGTCAGCATAGAGGACTCTGCTGGGGAAGCCTTTCCTGCAAATCCTGATCCCTTCCAGCACGCCGTTACAGCGCAGCTGGTGCAGCACCAGCTCGTGCTCCATGGCACCTAAGCAATAAGGCAATTATTTGATAATTCATCATAAAATATAGAGAATAATGGCTGCATCAACCGTTTCTTATTTCTGCTTGGGGTTCTTACCAGGTGTTTTAGTCTCATTGGGGATGATGCAGCGCACAAAATGGGGGTGAGTGCTCCGCAGGTTGGTCATCAGCTTGTTGAGATTCTCCTAGAGGAACCAGTTACCAGTATGACTTTCCTTGTATCGAGTGTTTGATGCACCAAGGTAATGATTTTACAAACTTCTCAAGCTGGGTTTTGAGCATTTCGATAAAGCCACACAAACCAAAAATTTTCTTCTATTTGAAGATACTGAGCACCAGATTGAAATACTACAATGCTGTTACTCGTTCAGTGAAAACTTATATATAAGTTCACAGATTCAGAAAAAATATATTACTTAGATTTTTCACATTCTGCCTTCAGAAGTCAATCTACTTTAGTTTTAAAGAATAGGGATTTTTTTTCTAATGAAATATACATCTCTTTGGAAATTATTTTCAACTCCTCAACAGAAATGCAGGAATAGTAGTATTGCCCTTCAAGTCTGACCCACAGACATATAAACATGAAGATCTGAATTATGTCTGCTAATAAAGAAAAAATAAGAAAGAAAACCACCACAAATTAGATTTCCATGATTTTGAATTCTGAATGTCTATTTTTGGACATATTTACAATGCTAAAATTGACCCTGGAAAACCTGATGGTGGAATTTCCAAAGAAATGTACCCCCTTTATAATAATATAAAATAGCTCTCTCAAATTTAATTTTAGCTCACCCCCTTTCTTCACATTTCAGAGATAAGATACAGTACTATACCCGGAAAAGAGCTGAGACAGTCTGGAAGGAAGAACCCTTCTTCTTGCCTCCCTTCTTGCCACCACCAGCTTCTGCAAATTGAATAAAGGAAAACAAAAAGTTTTAAAATTCACATGAAACAACTTTAACCGTTTAGTGTTTATGGCTTTAATTCTGTGACAAGTCTCCCACATTAAAAATACAATTTTCAGAAATCTGACCTGCATCTGCTCCACCGTAGTTGGCAAAGAGTAAAGCCAGGGTCTTCACAGATGACTTCTGGTACAGCCCAATGACAGTTTCATTCAGAGGGTCCTTGTTCTTCTCCAGCCACCCAGAGATGTTGTAGTCCACTGTGCCAGCATAGTGCACCAGGGAGAAGTGGGCCTCAGCCTTGCCTTTGGCAGGCTTGGGCTTCTGGAAGTTGTTGGACTTGCCCAGGTGCTGGTCATAGAGCTTGTTCTTGAAAGAGGTGTCAGTTGCCTTGGGGAACATGCACTCCTCTTCCAGGATGGAGAAGATGCCCATGGGCTGGGAGAGATTATGACAGACAAGAGGGAGAAACAGATTAGAAAGGAGACATCTCGTGGTTGGAAAGTTGCTGAAACCAGAAAAGGAAGCTATTCCTATAGTGACTTTAAATAAGAGAAAATCAACTAAGGCTCAATATTTTCAGGGTTGCTATTTCATTCAAAATTATGGAAATGCCTTTGCTGATGAAATTATTATAGATATGACAATGTGAAATACAGTTATCTCCATAGAAGCTGTTTACTGGTAAGTACTTAGAGAATATGACCACATTTTTCACTTCATTTTGTAATTTGGCAATGAATTCTCTAACCACAAGCCTTCATATCTGAGTAATGATCTCCAGAAACACTTCTACCCTGTTGCCACTTTCACAGAGTATATATTTGAAGAAGCAAAAATATTCTCACATGGTTCTTAGTTCTCTTAGCAAGCATAGAACACCAAATTTATATTAAAATTGAACAGGAAGGATACCTTCTCAATGAGCTCAATGCAGGCAGCCAGGTCCATCCCAAAATCAATGAATGTCCATTCAATCCCTTCCTTCTTGTACTCCTCCTGCTCCAGCACGAACATGTGGTGGTTGAAGAACTGTTGCAGTTTCTCATTGGTGAAGTTGATGCACAGCTGCTCAAAGCTGTTGAACTAATATTTGAGGAAGTGTGTTAATAGTGCCAGCCATAAAAAGACATACAACGCTTTCAAGGATCAGGAATAATACCAAGGTGTTTTCTTGTACAATTCTAATTCACCATGTCTTATACTTTAAGTGCAAGACCCCTTCCTGTGTATTTTTCCTTTGCTATCTCTCTAAGATATTTAGAAAAGAGAGGTTTCTAATTTAGATCAATGAGAAGATTAGTTTTCTATTCTCTTGTTTTTTCGGGATTAACAACATGATTCCAAAAGCCCTACAAAAATGTGTAGGGAAATAGTCACTTCTATTAAATATATTTCAAAATTCTCAATTATAGTTCTACAAAAATTCTGGGAAAGCTGTGCTCCTTACATCAAAGATCTCAAAGCCAGCAATGTCCAGCACACCAATGAAGTACTGCCTGGGCTGCTTCGTGTCCAGCTGTTGGTTGATGCGAACAACCATCCACAGGAACATCTTCTCATAGACAGCCTTTGCCAGGGCACCCACTGAATTGTTCACCTAAAGCACAGAGAAAACTTTGGAGGTTACTATACACAGCAGAGGAGAATCAGTGGAAACCATCATAGCATGCTCCACATTACCATATTTTTTCTACCTGCTGCACAGTTTGGCCCTTGGTGACGTATTCATTCCCCACCTTGACGCGGGGGTAGCAGAGGGCCTTGAGCAGGTCTGCTGAGTTCAGACCCATCAGGTAGGCAGCCTTGTCAGCAACTATCACCATAAAAGACAGAAGAGTAGATATTCAAAAATTCCTAAAGGTCAGTGCTTGACTGTCCCAATAGTGTTCTCCACAAGATTGCATAACAGTATCTGTCAAAGCTAAAAAGCTAATTTCTCTTTTTGTGTTCAGTAGTCAGAGTCTATAACTCTTCCTGAGCTTCAGATTCTGCAAACATTCTTCAAGAGAGCTCATTTTCTTTTTCCTCTTTCATGTGTTGGTATGGAACTTCAAACTTTCTAGTCATATAGAAGGAGGATTTATCACTCAGAAAGATGGAGGTATGGACTGTCCTTCCTATTATGACAGAGACTAATGAAGTACACATCTCATGTCAGAGTTCTGTCCAGTAGGTGAGGATGAAGAGGAGCACAGCCTTCGGTCTTGTTAGGGCTGCTCCATACTACAGAGGTTGCAAGGCGTATTTAACTTAAGTATGATTAGAATGTTAGAGGAATTGACATGCAAGTCTCCTGGCTTACTGTCAGTGTACACTGGATCTCTTATAGCCTAGTGACAGAGGAAAAAGTAGAGGTATCATTAAATGAGATAAATGCCTCAAATGGCATGGAGCAACTAGTGTTATTCTTAGTTTCCACATTTAAAGCCTGTAATCTGCATAAGTCCTTATGTAATAAAGACTGTCTCCTTTCGAAAGCTTGACTCTGTTAATACCTTCCGTGCCATCAGGCTCTGCCTGCTCCTCACGTTGTTTCTGCTTGAACTTCAGATTCCCATAGTGCATGACAGCCCCCGTCAGCTTGTAGATGGCTGTTTTCTCATCAGCACTGAAGCCCAGGATGTCAATGGCACTCTGGGAACAAAAACACAATGTACATATACCAGGGGTCAAGTCCACCAGATAATCATTTGCTAAAGTTACTCACATCTGTTGCCATCAGCTCCTCCTGATCATCAATGCTGGGGACAGTGATCTCACCTTGACTCACAAAGTGGAAATCATAAGGGTTGGTGGTAATGAGGAGCATGTCTGAAAGCAACAGAAGGAGAATAACAAGCTTAAGTTAGTTTCCAGATAACACAATGAATTCAGTGATCTTCCTTCAAATAAAGTTAGTGATCTTTCCTACCAATTAGCTCTGGCTTCTTGTTGGACATGATCTGATAAAAGATGTGGTAGCTCCTTTCTGCCTTGAGCTGGAAAGTGACTCTGGACTTCTCCAGCAGATCTGGCAAGGAGGGTAGGCACAGTCAAGCACAAGAAGTGGGGAAGGCAGGAGGGAAGAGGGATCAAGCAGAAGGGTGTCTTACATGTTTCAATGTCAGCAGAAGCCAATTTGCCTGTGGCACCAAAATGGATTCTGATGAATTTACCCTGAAAGCAGCAGGAAAGTCAATTGACACTTATATAACCAATCTGCACAGCAAGAATATTCAAATTGGTGTTGACAGTTGAACAAATTAATAACTCACAAAGCGTGAGGAGTTGTCGTTCCTCACGGTCTTGGCGTTTCCAAAGGCCTCCAGCAGTGGGTTGGCACTGATGATTTGATCCTCAAGTGTCCCCTGCAGGGTGATAATTATTGCTAGTTTCCTTTCCAAAAATCACGTCAGGAACAAAGGAAAGCATTAATCCCAACATGTATCTACTACTTTACCTGCATTTTGCCTGATGCATGTTCCTCCTTCTTCTTCTCCCCACTGGCTGCAATTGTTGCAAAGTACTGGATGACACGCTTGGTGTTCACAGTCTTCCCGGCCCCGGATTCTCCGCTGCCAAAGGCAAGGGAGAAGCAGAGGGTGCGTGGTCAAGCAGGAGGTGCCCTGGCACCGGGCAGCCCCGCAGGGACCCGCGCAGGGGGTGTACGTACGTGATCAGGATGGACTGGTTCTCCCGATCTGTGAAGAGACAGAAGTAAAAAACAGAGGTAAGAGAAGACAAATAAGAAATTCAAGAACTAGGAGAAAAAAAAAGAACTGGAGCTTCCAGAGGATCCAGGAAAAGGAAATAGCAAAAAGCGCCCTGGGAATTCTAGTGGGTACTTTTGATGCTGTCAGCAGTACTGCAGATATTAGCAACTGGTTCTATAAAGGAATCACTGCAGAGAAACTTCAGTAGTTTTATGGCTTTCCTGACATTGTCTTTCCATCAAGCTACTTATTTCTCTTTTAACAGGCAAGTAGAGGTTATGATAATATTAAGGTTGTAATTGTTTTGTATGTAAATTCTTCAGAAGGTAAAAGTCTCTTGAATGATATTATCAAAATTTGGAGGTATCATTAATTACAGAAACATCTGACCAACATCTTTCATCCTTTTTCACCTCTATTTTTTTTAATCCCTTTATATAGAGAAATTATGCATTCTTGAGATTATACTTCAACAACATTAATTTTTTTTTTCTATTCTGAATATATTTCCCAGAGTTTAAAGAAAGAACAGGAGAAGATGTTCTAAAATCCTGCACACCTTTCATTTCAATGCATATATAAGGAAGAGAAAATAAGCGGTGAAAGGAAGAGGGGAAAACTGAAAGAAAAATTTTTAAGTCATTCAATTTAAATGCCAAAAGCTTTATTTTTCTTTGATATTGTTTTATGAAGCTCTGTTTTCTCTATATAGCGCAATTGATTTATAGGTGCAGCTACAGACCAGTACACGAGTACCAGAGATCATTAAAATCTGTATGTAATTCAGATCACATGGCCATCATCTACATAATGAAATCCATTTGCACATTAAGGTCTCAGGTGAGGCTTACATACCTCTTTAAGGCAGAGCTCTGTGTTTTATTTGTCAGCACTGATGTTTGAAAATTTGAATTTATATTATTCATATTATTTATAGTGTATGTGTCATTTAACTGTACCCTGTACTATCTGTTTGATACCAATTTAATTATTACCATACATAAATCCATCCATATATGTAAGATTACACTACAGGCATAAGGTCCACACCACAAAATAGGTGATTTCTTTCCAGTGAATTTATACCTTCGAGGTTATGTCCAGGTCTTTAGTGATTCTAATGGGAGCATTGACAATCAGCTCTCACAGTCCATTAGAGTTAAATGCATTAATTTTCCATTAATTTCACACACACAATTTTTTTAAGTGTGACACCACATTTCCAGAAAATACCCTACATTTCCCTCTACAGATAGACAATTTCAAGAGCAACTCAAAGGAAATCAAACACTCACCAGTCAGCATGGACTGATAGGCGTTGTCAGAGATGGAGAAGATGTGTGGAGGGGCCTCCTGGCGCTTCTTGCCTCGGTAGGCCAACACCACCTCGGGGTTGTACACCGGCAGCCACTTGTAGGGGTTGACAGTGACGCAGAAGAGACCCGAGTAGGTCTGCAAGGAAGGGACACAGCACCTTGGCTTCCCCTGAGCCTGGCCCAGCAGCTCCCGAGGCTGCCCAGAGGAAGCTGCTGCTGCCACTTACGTAGATCATCCAGGCTGCGTAACGCTCTTTGAGGTTGTACAGCACAGCGGGTTCGTGCAGGTGGGTCATCATGGCCATGTCCTCGATTTTGTCATACTTGGGAGGGTTCATGGAGAAGACTTGGTCTTCCTTCACAGTGAGCGTCTGCCAAGGAAACAAAAGATCCATGTGTATCACCTAAAAGTGCAAAGTGGGGATCAAATGTTGTTGTTGAGCCTTGTTTTTGACTCACCTCTCCCCCTTCTGTCTTGACAGTGACTTTTCCTGATTCCCTGCTCTGAATTGTCCCTTTCACAAAGGATTCTTTGGGATGAGCCACAAAGACAGATGACTTGGCATCGAAAGGTTTGTTCTGGGCTGCAATTCTCTCCTTTTCCGATTTTCGGAGGTAAGGAGCTGCCTCCCCAAAAACAGCCATCTCAGCATCTCCAGAGGCCATGTCTGTCCTCTAATGGAAGCTTGTCAGCAGAGATGTCTTGTGAAAAAGAAAATGTTATTGGTCATCAAGAAGAATAATACAATTAATACCAATGAGCATGCTCCTTGTTCCTTGCTCTTTAGTAAATAAATTCCTACTTAGTCTCCAAAATAAACTCTTAGGAAGAAACCAATTAAATCCACTTTGATTTGAAGTTAAAAGTCCTCTAGTCTGAACCCAAGAGTAAGACTTAGACTTCTACAACATGCAGATCTTGTTACAGTAAGCAGACCATGTGAATATTGAGTACAGTTTGGTAAGACACCCTGAATTCTGACAAGGTTTGAGTTTTTCACATAAAAAAATCTAGTCATAGAAAATTTGCTCTCTGTTTGGGTCCTTAATTATAAACAATAAAGTCTTCAAGAGAGTACTTTCTTGCTGAAGGATTATCTTTTCTATTAAAAATTACTTCATTTTTTAGATCTTCCCTATTTCCAACTATCTAGCCTAAGCAAATTCAGTTGGAATATAAGAGGATTTATGAAGAGAATTTGTGCAACTCTTTAAAAGTACTGTCCTAGAATACAGATTAGGAATGGATTATTCAGTGTATTACCTTTGAGTAACAGCTTGTATCCTGGAATATGGCCAACCCTGTAAGATAGGAATGGCAGTTGTTTCTTATTGCTGAACAGAATTCCATAAAATATTGTAGATTAAAAATACAGACATGCATTACAATTACACTGAAAATTTTTGTTCACATGGGCACTCCCTCATGGAAATGGTTGATAGAGACAGAAGAAATGAAACAGGATATTGCAAGGACATTGTCCTCTTTCTTCAAGCTCATGAAATGCATGCACTTACCTCAAAGCCTTCTGCAGAGACAGACTAGACTTGTCTCTGGCAGATTTTATAGTGTCTCGTCTGCAGATGCTGCAGAGGGTCCCCCTTTCTTCGGTCAAAACATTTCTGGCAACCCTTTTTTGGCCAAGCATTGTCTGTCAAACTAAGGGCATAATTGTCACTTGATTTGAATGATATAATTAGAACATTTTTATATCTTACTGACTACGTGAATACATCTATAAATAATTTGTCAAGAGTGTTAAGGAGAGAATCTAGACTACTCAAGGCACTTAGAGAACTTGCATGGTTCTATTGCTGCCTTTCTCAGTGATTTGCTCCTTGACCCATGGTAGTTTCCTTGGTATGTTTATACCACAACTTTTCAGTCATGTAATGGTGATGACAACGCCTATGATGCTTTAGGAACATATGCATTGGGAGGAACAGGGAAAATGTCAAAAACTAGCAAATAATGTTGGGAACCACTTTTCAGTGGTATTTTCTAAAAAGCGGGAAGTAAAATTCTATTACAGCTGAGTTTTCTGTACATGACACTCTCAATAGCTTAAATTATTTGAAATAAAGTGAGTTGGGAGCCTGATCCCAAGTAATGGGAGACTCTACTTTGATATGGAGTTCTTGAATAGATTCCTGAGCTGACTGTTGAGGAATCAAATGTTGCAAATGAGTTAAGGTTGCTTAAAGTATCACCATCAAAGGTATTAGTGAAAGAGCATTCAATATAAATTTGCAAAAGCACAACAAAATTTGATGGCAAGGTTTGCTCTATTACTTGCTGCAACAATCAAGAAAAATTACTAAGAATTCCTTTAGAATGATTTGCACAACAATTGGGGGTGCAAAGAGTAAGGGTAAAAAGCATAAGAAAAATCATCCTGTTGAGTTATGAGGTTCACAGGGGGCCCCTTGATTTCTAAACTCCTGAGAGACCCTAGGTACAGTTGGATCTAATCATAATACCAGACCTGTCAACAGTTTGTGTGTAAAGGGTTTTAGCAGGACTTAATCATTGACTAATTTGACATTCAAAAAGTGATTCAAATAGATTTACTATTATTGCAACAGTGACTTAATTATAGATCCCAGATAGCAACATTAAAATTATATTTGCTGTAGAGTGCTTAAATGAACTCACACATGCACACACACTGACACAAAGGTGTGTGTATAAATGTTCAAGGGTTACACCTTTTAAAATCTCCCTCTGAGTTCAGTGAAATTTTCACTTCAAATGTCTTGGAATTTCTCAGTGGGCAAGAGCTGTGCCTCAGGGACAGGAGGATATTGCTCTGGTGAATCAGCTTTTGGTGAATTTTTTGAAAATCAGTCTTCCATTTTTCACAAACTTAAGAGTTCATGAGTTTTGAGAGGCACCTCACTCTGAGGAAGATACTGGTTGCAGCCAGTATGAGTAATTCAGTTCTGAGGTACATGTACCGACCATAGCACTGTTTGCCTTTTTTGGTTGGACAGCAGACTCATACTGAACAGAGTGCACTCAGGAGAGATGAAAACTGGGAAGCTGAATTCCTTCTAGCTCTTGCCATGTCCAGCACTGAAGTCCAGTGTTAAAATTTCTCCATGCTCATGCTGTTCAGGGAATTCAGGTTCCTCAAGTTTCCAGCTTCAGGCTGTTCACCAAGTATCTCCTCATTTCTCAGCAGCTGTCCTTTCAGGACAGAAATACCGACTGCAAATAAAGAAGGGGCTACCACCCTGCTCAAGCAACTCAAGTATCACTATGGGAGACTGCAACTGCTCCATACAGTATGGGCAGATGTTATTTTGGGTTCTAGTACTCTTCGCCAGTGAGTGCTTGTAGAAATCACTAAGTAGGGTGTGAAAGAAAAGCAGTGTTTGACTTACCTGGTTTGAATACAGCTGGTTTGAATACAGCTGAAAATAAAGCTGTTTGAGACTTGATCTGTGACAGTACATGTAATGCAGCATCCTATGAAGGGTTACAATAGCCCCCAGAAGTCAATATGACTGCATTCACAGAGCACATCTCTTCTGAGCAGTCTCTTCTTTTCCAAAGCTGCTGCAAAGTGCATGCTAACTAGCAGTTCCTGGAATGCAATGAATTCCAATCTTACAAAGTCTAGAGTGCTAATTCTGTTGCTTATCTCCCCAGCTTTCTGCTGGATCCTTCATCCAGCCGTGTATTTACTGCAGTCTGAGGTGCCATCTGGGATCATATCACAAGTTCATCCCTGCTTCCAATATTCAGTGTTGTCTATCCAGTATTTACATTCGGCTATTGACATCAGCACTGCTAAGAATTTCTAGCAGAGCTTGCCTGGTGCTGTTGCCCTCACAGCACATGTCCACTAGGCTGAAAACCTCCCTAGAGGCAGAGTTTCTACTAGTTGAGTTTCTACTACTTGAGTTTCTACTAATTGTGGAAATCCCTTCATTATTGTGTCTCTTTCAGGTGGCCCATAACAGACCCTATCACAACATCCCTCATTTTCCTCCCACCTCTGACAGGATATCTGCAGCCCCACAGTGGAGCATTGCACAAGCAAGTAGAACTTTGACATAAAGCATAAACCTTTCTCATTTCCCCCGTGTATTCTGCCTACAAAGTCCATACTGTCCCATGTCTATTCTCCTGTGATGCACACTGTCCTACATTACCTCCATAACTCTCATCATGTTCCACTTCTTCCTTGTAAAATTCCTACATTTGCAGCTATTCCTGTTATTTCTCAGCTTAAGTGTTCTTCTCATAATGAAGCTTATTTCAGCATCAGGTTAGTAGCTCCAAATTTCTCATACAACAAGGTACTCTGTGGGTAAGACACCAGGGCTCTTCAGCATGTGCTTCCTCCTTGCCTCCTTGTAAAACTTTATTTCATTCCCCCCATTAGTGAAATTATTAAAATTTAATTTTAATAATTAATTAATCCATTTAATAATTAACTTCAGCATGTGCTTCCTCCTTGCCTCTTTGTAAAACTTTATTTCATTCCCCCCATTAGTGAAATTATTAAAACATTCTCCATTTAATTTTCTTTGGGATGATTGCTTATTTTCTCTTGTGACTTAACCAGTTCTGTTGCAGAGTGAAATATAATTACCATGGTGTTTATTTCCTGATAAAATAATTCTCTTTACAACTGGGTGGAGCTTAGAGTCAGTGTAGAGAGCAGAGTTCTCCTCCAGAGAGTGAAGTGACATCATGGTTAGGGAAGTCCACCTCCTTCTTCTCGGAAAGAGTTGTCAAGCCCTGGAATAGGCTGCCCAGGGCAGGAGTGGACTCCCCATCCCTGGAGAGATTTAAAATATGTGTGGGGACGTGGTTTAGTGGTAGACTTGGCAGTGCTGGGGTAATAGCTAAACATAATGATTTTAGAGATCTTTCCCAACCCAAATAGAGACTCATGACTCCATCATATTTTGGAGAGTACAGGGCAGCAGGAGGAGCAATTGCTATGATTTCTTTTCCTGCTTTTATTTCTGCAGTCTCTTTAGGATACTGACACACCACCTTAATCTCTTTTCTTTTCCCTCTCTCTGCTAAATTGTTTGGCATTATGTCCAGAATACTGAATGGCAGTCATTGCCAAGTCCTCCCCTTAGCTATCAGCTAGGATTTGCAGGCACCTTTCAAAAAAAAAAAGGATATAGTTTCAGTATAGAGTGCCTAAATTCACTTCTATTGGGAAATGAAGAATATTTAGTGTCAGTACATGTATATTCCAGGAAAAGAAAGAAAAAAATTATTTTGTTCAGAGCCTTGATTCTGTCTTAAAAACATTTCTGGCAATGTGATACCTAGCTGCTAGAATATCACTTTCTGGTGTAATGTTTTTTCTTGACAGACTCCGTAATTCATACAGAGTGGAATACCATGCCTCCAATATAAGTGGCAACATTAGAATTCTAGAATCAGGGCATTAACATACAGCCCTTTTGAGGTGAAAAACACATCACCATCACCTCAAAACAGCAGAGACTGAGATCGTGACAGTGGCAGATACAAAAATAATGTAAATTAGAGCTATACTTAAAATTCTTCTAGAAAGAGCGATGGTGTAGGAAGGAGTCTGACTGATTTGGTCATTCTTTCCCCCCATTGCCAAAAAAAAGGGGATCTCAAATCCTTGCAGGGTTTTTTGTTTGCTGCTGGCCTTGCTTTCATTAAGGTAGGGTCTGCCTAGAGACGTCAATTTTCTCTGACAGGGAATGCTCAGCCCCTGCTGCAGCAGCTTTTCTGCTGCCCTCTGTGTAAAATGAGAACTTCCAGGAATGTTAGCAGAAGGCAAGCAGAAATGTCAGAGCACTGCTTTGTAGCAGCACTGCTCACCCCCGAACTTCTGCTCGGATATGACTGGACACTGAGCCCTGGAGAGGGTAAGAGCACATTTTCCCTATTAAAAGGTTGGTTTTCAATTCAGTGTCGCTCCATTAAGGTTTCATGCTTTCAGTGTTATGTTGAAACATGTTCACTGTTATGAACAGAACATGCTCAGTCTGTAATTTTGATGTGACATCTGGTTAGGAAATTTGCCATTGAACTAACATTTCTAATAAATGTGGCTGAAGGAATAGGCTGAGGCAATTGCTGGAAGCAATAAATGATTTCCGAGGAAGAACTACTGAGGACCATAACTGGTAAAACTTAAGCTGCAGGTAAAGAATAGGCCACCCATTCTTTACCATGGCAAATGTGAAGAAATGTTCAAAATTTCTGTGTCTAAGAATGAGAACCTGTGAATATAAGCTGAATGTCACAGGCTGGCCATGGAGGGGCTGTGGTGGCCTTGCTGTCACTTCTGCTCTAGTCAGAAATTAATTTCTGAAGATCTTAATGTGATTTACCTCCACTACATGTCAAATAAAGTGAATGCACCTGTCCTAGGGGGAAATTCAATTATAAATTTGTTTCCAAGTAGGTTCCCACAGAGTGGTATTCTTGGAAGTCTTGGAGTGAGTTTAAACTGAACATGAGAGGCAAATAAATTGAATAACTGAACATGAGAGGCAAATAAATCCGTAATCTGGGATTAGAGGAAGAGTAGTTTCAAGAGCATGCCACTCGTGTGCTGTGATTCACACTCCTCCTGTCTCCACAGACACATTGGTGGTAGAGGTCTGGGCAGCAGATCCCATCCAAGGAGGTGACGCTCAGGATGCCCTTTCTATCCCCTGCCAAGCAGCTGAGGAGCTCTTATTACACAGCAGGTGAGTGGGGTGGGCAACCTGGCAGACAGGAAGAGGTAATCGAAGCAGCAAGCAACTATGAGAGCAGGAAGGAAGGGGAAGGAAAAGGAAACAATGAAGGACATGGTATTAACCGCTGCAGGAAATTCTATCAGAATCTAAAATGAGCTGTCCTTGTGAGATCAAAGGTTTGTGTAGCCCAGCTTCCTGTCTTTGAAAGTGATGCTCAGGAAGGATCATCAGCATAGAATAGCACTTCTACAGAACTCTCTTACCTCCAGTAATTTGTATTTATGGAATCCCTGAGCAGAATGCAGTGTCTAAGTACTTAACAGCTCATGGAGGAAATTTAACTGATTAATTTCTCAAAGCACTTTTTGAACTCAAAAAGTGTTCCCTGAACATAGGTCACTTTACTGTGATCCTCTACTGACCAAGGCCAATCCATAGAAAGTGAGATCTCCCTTCTGGTCTGCAAAGGAGCAGGGCCCAGAGCAAGGTCCCCTTGATGGCTCCAGGCTGCCATCCCCTGGCACTGGGGGCTGGAGCAGAGGGCCTGCTCAGCTGCTGCCCGGGAGCTCCCTGTGACTGACAGGAGCCTGATGGGGCTGTGGGACCGGCACCCCCTGCTCCCCTCACCAGCAATAATGCTGTCGGCTGCCTGCCAAGGATCCTAAAGGAACTTCGTGTCAGGTGACAAGGCCCAAGCTGAGGAGAAAGCTGATGCTGCCTGTGCTGTCAGAGCAACAGCCAAGGCCTGAGGAGCAAGGCACAGCCACCATCCCAGCTGATGTCCTGGGCTCAGTGTCCTCTGATTGCCCATGGTGACTGTACCTGGCTGGGACACGGCTTTCCTGAGCTCTCCAGAGGACCAGGGGAGTCAAGGTGCAGGGAGGGCTGAGTCTCCATAACCATCATGTGAGAGCCAGCAGCCCAGCCAGGGCTTCTCCAGCAGCCCTGATACTCCTGGGGCTCATGAGGGACCTCTGGTGTACAGCCCTACAGCCTTCCCTAAATGAGGGCTGGGGAAGCACAGCCTGAGCAAAGGGACATGGATGGCCCCTGCAGCGCTGCTGGACCTCAGAGCAAGCCCTGCCTCTGCCTTCATCCTCACTCAGACAGGGACTCCAGGATGGCAGCTGTAAAATGCTGCACTTTCAGAGCTGCACGCCAGCCTGTGTTTTTAATTTGTGGGTTAAACTGAGAGAGGCAAAGCCTCATCCAACCTAAGGAGCCCTGGCTGACTGCTGGAAGTACCTGGGCAGCTGCTTTGCTGCCCAGGGACAGCACATCCCAGCAGGGAATGGCCATGGCCACGGTGCTGGTCCCCTTTCTGCTGTTTAACCTTTCATCTGGCAATGGAGCTGTGCTGCACTGAGTCTCTCTGGGGTAAGAATAGCAGCTGCTGCCTTGGCACACAGCACACGTGGCCAGCTCCTCCAGGGCAGCACGTTGCAGTGCCACATAGAAGGCAGCCTACCCGCCCAGGAATGTCTTCAGGCGCTATTAGTGGAAGCAGATCATCCCCACAAACAGGCACGACCCCGCACAGGAGTCTTAGGAGACTGGGGCTATTTTGGGCTTTTGACATTGAGCATGAAAGGAGACCCGTGATGGGCTGATCCTCCTGCCATGGGCCTCCTCCAAAGCTCCTTTCAGCCCTGTCCCCTCCTCCAGCAATGGCTCTTGTGGAGACTGAGTTTGGTGTGGCCTTGGAGGGCAGGACGAGAGTGCAGAGGGAGCTGTGAGTTTGCTGGAGGGACAAGGCCAGTCCTCAGTGCCATCAGCAGTGCTCATCATCAGGGCAGGTCCTGCCTGAGGGTGTGCACCTGTCCCTGAGTCTCTGAAGTTAATGCTTGTACCAGCCGTTACAGCCAACAGAGATACTCACAGATTTTATGTGCCATCTAGACTCTACCCACACATACCTGAAGCTTTGGAGATGCCCTCAGTTGGGATTGCTCCCAAGAGGAGCAGCCAGCCTCTAGGTGGGCTTGGGCAGGCAAGAGTTAATGCCAGGAGGCCCTGGCTGTAGAGACAGAACAATGCACACTGTAAGGCAAGGAAAAGGACTTCAGGGGATGAGGAAGGAGGAACAAGGTTAGGAGTCTGCTAAGGAGCCCTTGGGAAAAGTTGTGCAGTGTCATGAGAAGGAAGTAGTAGTCTGGCATCTCTGCAAGGCCTTTCTGAAGGGCTGGGATTGAAAGCTGAGGACTGCTCCTAAAGAGCCATCTCCCAATTCTCTCAACAGACAACACCAACAGGTTCTGCTTGTCAATGCTTGTTAGAGACTCTGGAATCAGGCTGGACTTCCCATCAAGAGCTGGTGAGGCTGCACTCAGGAGCCAGGTAAGGCGAGAGGCCTTGGGATATTGCTCATGGGTCTAACAAACAAATATCAGAGTGGTCAATTTCAACTTCCCTTCAGTGTTGAGATTACTGACAAACAAAACCTAAACTGGTGTTTAGGGTTTATGAGGGCCAGCATCAAAAGCAAGAGTAGGAAAAGGAAAAAGCAAAAGGATCACCCTCTCTTGACTCTCTCACGGAAAAGAAGCTGTGCTGAAAAAACAATGGGAGAAGCATTAGGAGGATGTGAAGGCAGGAGCTGGACAAAGAGCTGCTGGAGACAGGAGAGAGCACAGGCTGGATTTTTCAGGAGTCTTCACAGCAATGGCCAGCATCTAAATCTGCAGATCCTCAATCCAACACCAACCCCTGCTTTTCCCTTCTCCCAGAGAGGAAAAGGAAGGAAACAACTTCTGCAATGCAATTGCCCAAGGAAGAACAAAACCCAAAGAACAAAACCACTGGCCATGCATTGCGAGCTTCCTGGATGGTATCCTCCATTTCACCCTGGATCTGGGCAATGTCTGTTTCCAGCTTCTTCTTGGTATTGATCAGGCTGGTGTTCTGTGCAATGGGAAGGACATGGCAAGAGTTGAATTCTAAAACCTGCCATAATGAACCTTCTTCCTGAACAAAGACTTTCACCCTCCATCTTCCAATTCTTACTCTGGAATTATTGTTACAGTGGTTGTTTATAAAATAACAAGCTTGGCTAGGGGAACAGATGCAAAATACGCCTTTCCTTGGGGACAGCAGTAGAGAGGCCTTTCTAGTACTACTGGTTCTCTGGTAAATTCCAGGCCTCTGTGTTTGGTCAGTATCAACACAGCTCTTTGTTCCCTGCCCTGACCTGGGTGTGGAGGAGTTGCACACGTTCAGTGGCATCCAGAAGCTCCTGCTCAGCCACTTTCCTTGACCGCTCTGTCTGCTCCAGGGCTGCCCGGAGCTCCTCAATTTCAGCCTGCAGCAGGTTTGCTCTGCGCTCCACCATGGCCACCTGCTCCTTCAGGTCATCCTGTGTCCTCAGAGCATCATCCAGATGGATCTGGGTGTCCTGGAAAGAAAGAGAAAAGAAATTAGCAGGTGTCAGTCGCTTGAGTGGCAAAAATGTCATGGATCTCATTTTTTCTCTTTCTGTTGCTTTGCTGAATGAACCTTGAGCACTCCTTGTGTATTTCTCAGGTTCTTCTGTGCCTCTGCAGCCACACGGTTGGCATGGCTCAGCTGGATCTCCATTTCATTCAGGTCTCCTTCCATCTTCTTCTTCAACCCCAGGGCTTCATTCCTGCTCCTGATCTCAGCATCCAAGCTGCTCTGCAAGGACTCCACAACTCGCAGATGGTTTCTCTTCATCTGGTCAATCTCCTCATCTTTCTCTGCTATCTTCCTGTCAATCTCAGCTTTCACTTGGTTGAGCTCAAGCTGCAGGCGCAGGATCTTTCCCTCCTCATGTTCCAGGGAGGCCTGGACAAGTGGACACAAACATTGATAACATCAATGAACCTACTGCTTCCTTTTAGGGATAGGATATTTCCAGAGATCTCAGCTGTCTGCACTCCCCAGCCAAAAAAGAGGACAACCTAGACCTTGTTAGTCCTTTTTCCTCATTTCTGTAGACACCAGTGATTATTGTCATATACCTCAGCTTCCTCCAGAGCAGCCTGGATTTCAGATTTCTCCTGTTCAACCTGCTTCTTCACTTTCTCCACCAGGGGTGCTGGTGCTGGAGGCCAAAAGACCTTGTCAAAGTTCTTCTGCTTCTTATCCAGAGCAGCACAGGCAGCATTGGATCTCTCCACATCAATCATCAGGTCCTCCACTTCATTCTGCAGCCTCTGCTTTGTCTTTTCCAGGGAGGCACATTTGGCATTGACAGCCTCAACATGTTCCTCTGCATCCTGCAGGCGCTGGGCCAGCTTCTTCCTGGAAAGTAGTAAGCACAGTTCTTAGCTGATAATATTGGTGGATGTTCATTATCATCTCACCAGATCAGTGAGACATTACTTAGTGTTTGAATCCTAATGCCCATGGTTCAGGGCCTATATCTGCCAGCCTTTTTTTTTTTTTTTCCTATTTTATTTCCCCAAGGTCTTTGTTGTGTTGGAGGGGACAAAAAAATCAATAATTCCATGCCATGGGCAGGGACAACTTCCACTAGACCAGGTTGCTTCAAGCCCTGTCCAGCCTGGCCTTGAACACTTGCAGGGATCGGGCAGCCACAACTTCTCTGCAGTCTTGCTATCCCTCCACACTTTGCACAATCCCATACATGTCTTTTCTCCTGCATTCTTTGTCACATAGCCTGTTTTCCTTATGTTTTTCTGTTCATATAACTCCTCAACCTTCTATTAGGCTTTTGCTTTTGAAAATCTCCGTGGGTGTCTTTAAGTTTCCCTTATTGGTGTATGCCAACCTGCCACACAATGCTCACGTACTTGGCCTCCTCGAGCTCCTCCGTGCGCTGAATCGCGTCTGTCTCATATTTGGTTCTCCACTGAGCCACTTCGCTGTTGGCCTTGGACAGGGCTCGCTGCAGCTCCCCCTTGGCCTCCTGCTCCTCCTCATATTGTTCCCGGAGCAAGTCACAGTCGTGGCGAGCAGACTGCAGGGCGTGGGCCAGGGCGTTCTTGGCCTGGTTGCAAAAATATGGCAATAAGAAGTAGGTGTTTCCTGGGAAATTTCTCTTACTGGCACTGATATACACTGATATACATCCCAAAGAGTTAGTGGTTGAATGACTGCCTCATAAAAACATGGGAGTCCTGCACTGCAAGGGCCTAGATTGCACCATCTAAGGGGATGGTTTGAACTTTTAATTGGATCACTTTCTGAATCCTTGAACACTTGACAAAAAACAGTATTATGTCCTATATTTATTTAATATGTAACATGAGTATCCTCACCTTTATCTCTTCTTCTAGCTGCCGCTTCAGTTCTTCAATCTGCTGGGTGAAAGCCTGTTTCCCTCTAGACAGCTGAGAAATTAAAGCATCTTTTTCTTCCACCTGGCGTCCATATTCACCTGAAAATGTTTGTAATTGTGACAACATTTTAGTAACCAAGAGAGCAACTTATGGGGTTCTGCCATTTCCAAATTACGGATGGAAGGGCTGTACCAGATTCTGTCTGCAGACGAGCTCTTTGAGCACTAAGATCGCTAATCATGCGCTGATTCTGCTCCTCCTTTGTTTTATATTCGCTCAGCTGGTCCTCCAGAGTGCGGCACATCTTCTCCAGATTTGCCTAGATATCAATTGCACATTAAAAAAAAAGAGTACCTTTCCTTGATTCTGCCGTCTTTAAGCAGGAAAATATGTCCAGAAGATGCAGTTGACATCTTAGGACTGTACATGTGCCCATACTTCTACACATGAGATTTGGAGAAACCATTTATAATACAACCTGATAAAAATTAAATCATTTAAGATTAAGGAAAAAATACCACAATGTTATCAAATTCCTAATAAAAATAATTGTGTACCTTGGCTTTAGACACAGATTCAATGTTGCTGGCCAAGTCATCAATCTCCATCTTCAGCTCACTCTTCTCCTTCTCCAGCTTCTGCTTCACGCGTTGCAGGTTGTCGATCTGCTCGCCCAGCTCAGCTGTGCTGTCCGCGTGCTTCTTGCGCAGGGCGGCAGCCGTGGCTTCATGCTGCAGCGTGGCCTCTTCCAGGTCACGGCGCATCTTCTGGAACTCGCAAACAGAAAATGGTGCTTAAAACTTTATAACAAGACAAGTCTTTTCCAGAGTGCAAGTGACAGTTTTTGCCTTATACCTTGTTTTCAGTGGCATGTTTTTCCTTCTCCACCTTGGCCAGTGTTAGCTCAAGGTCATCAATATCTTTCTTCAGCTCTGAACATTCATCCTCCAGTTTCCTCTTCTTGGCTGTCAGTTCAGCATTAATTTCCTCTTCATCCTCAGCCCTTTCAGTCACCTCCTTGACTTTGGCTTCCAGCTGGATTTTTGTTTTGATGAGCTGGTCACACCTTTCCTCAGCATCAGCCAAAGCATCAGCTTCCTGGTAGGGAGATGCCATTTTTAGGAATATGCTTTTTCAGGTAATATTGAGATACCTAATCTTCATCATGCAGGGTCTTATATAGTATTTTTGTATTTTAAAATTTGATTAATGTTCCGACAGAATGACATATAACATAGAATTGATTTGATATTGTTAGTTTTTAAACAGCCAGGTTTAAAAGCTAAAACCAAATAATTCCTTTTCAATCTGCCTGCAGGCATGAGTATTTATGTAATTGTGCAGTGTATAGAATCCAATATTATCTCATAATATCAAAATTTGGATCAAAGTACATGATCATAAGAATATCTCAGCATACACCATAGAAAAGTTTCACCCACGCAATATTTTGACTACAGATACCTCACAGCCCTTACATAAGCTTGTTATACCTTTGAGAGCACCACTGAAAGAATTTCAATTAAACTGAACTAAATCAAAGTTTCTATGTGGTTTGAAAACTGCTATTGTAAATAGCAACCTGACAGTCACAGTAGAATTAGGATAATGCCTACTGGTGGTACTCACAGACTGAACCTGGAGCTGCAGGTCATTTTTCTCCTGCACAAGTTTCACCATTTTCTCTTCCAGCTCCTTCCGCTTTGCCTCAGACTTCGCAAGCTCCTCCTTGGTTTTCTCAAACTCTTGTTTCATGTTGGCCATCTCCTTCTCAGACTCTGCACTCTTCAGCAAGGGCTTGATCTTGAAGAACAGCTTCATCCATGGCCAGTGTTTGACATTCATGAATGCACGAATGTTGTACTGGATGCAGAAGATGGACTCCCTGAAAGACAAGTTGAATTAAAATTCAATATTTACACCATGATGACATAATAAGCCAAGTACAGTGAGCCTGATTTGAAGAAAAGTTTACCTTCTCTCCACCATTTTCTGGTACTCCACCCTCATCAGGTAGCCCCTGCACCTGGCCTGGGTGCGGGTGATGAGCTGTGCCAGCTTCTCATCCCTCATCTCTTCCAAAAGGCCCACCAGCCCAGCTTTGAAGAACACCTTAGGTAAGAACAAGAAAATAGATGCAGTGTCTGTTCTTCTTTAACGTAACCTGATACCCTGCCCGCCATGATATACACTATGGAAGTTAAAAGCAAAACCACAATCAATATATGTAGTGACAGACGTTCTTTTATAACTCCAAGCTTCTGGTTACTTGCAGTTGAGGAACTATAATAGCCAGACATTTTTCTTTCATTTTTATTCACACGTGATTCTTTTTTCCTACAACTTTGTCTTAAATTAGGAACTTGATTAACCCTTAATTAAATCATCCTGTGACCATGAATTTCTGTTTATTCAAGTGTTGAGTAATCAAGAATCTGATTTATTTATTTTACACTATTTCTTATACCCTATTAGATAATTTCATGTGCTATCTGGA